TGATGTTCCTTCATATGGATTTTTTTTCAGATTTAGCACGTTTTTTTAATTCTAAATTTTGTTTCCCCTCAGTGCAAGAGAATTTTTCGAAGTCAAATTTAAGTACCCGTTATGTATGTGAGTGTCCGGTTACTAGGTCGTTTATGCGGTTTTAACTTGAGAATGCATTAATTTTATCCTAAGAATATATTGCTTTTGACATACGATGTTGAAATACCATCAAGCGTTCTTTAAACCGGACAAAAGCAATCTTGAATGTAAAATTTTCGGTCTTAAAATATCTTGAAATAAGAATTTTATAGCTACTCCACTTAAACCGTTAAATGCTAAGTACCTATTACAGCAAAATAATTTTTACAAACCTGTGTTAATTCCGGAATGCCAGAAGCTTTGTACGTTCTAAAAAACGATTTCACGACGTTTGATCGCAGTTTAAGAAGTCCATTTACCGACATTTTCTAAAACGAGAAAAACAATTTCATTTGCTTGTGGTTGTTGTGTTAATTACGTCCATTTTCTATAGGTACATACCATTTTTCTACAATCGGATGGGGCGTATCCTAAAATTTACCCCACCTCGTTAAAAATGGCAAAAGGCAAAACGGTATAAAATGAATGAGAAAGCTATTGAACAATTTTGCAGAGAGCTGGCAATTCTCTGATATCGACCAACTCTTTAAGAGTAAACGCGCAGTGCAGTTCTCTTTGTTTCTCTTTCACATACCAAACGAAAATACAAAAGAAAATGTCAAAAACAAAATCCATTGTAAAATCCACAAAAACTGCAGCCAACTTCGCGCATTTTTGCATTGGACGTCGTTTGTTGACATTTCGTTTTTTTCTTTGTGCGCTACTTCGTCTAATTGTAATTTCGTAAATTTTTTCTTTTGTAAAAAAGTGCTATTGGACATAAATGGAAAATCCAAAGTGCAAACGTTCCTAAAAAACATGCATTTTGCGCGATCGTTTGATTTTGAAAAAAACTAGTAAGGTGCTGAAACAGAATTTATTGAGACGTGCAAATTGTTTGGATTTTCAGAGGACGCGCTGCTTTGTATGTGTGTATTCGAGCATCTAATTGCCTGCAACGCTAGTTCTTTCCCGATTTTCATGACTTTGTGTGCATTTAAATACAAAAAAAAATTGCAGCGATTTTCATGCAGGTTTAATTTAATAAGAACA